TTCCGTTTGTTTAAAAAAAATTGTCTGCGAATAAATATATGAATGAATAAAACCATCTGCCAATTTGATAATACTAATTGTGTGCTTCGGTACGTTCCTAGGCAATATTTGCGTAACTTAAATAGTTATGGATAATCAAGCAATAAAATTGGGATATGCACTTTTTTATTTAAATAAACTCTAGTTTTATATATAGTTTGAATATTTATTGAAATTTTGGTACAAATTTAATCAATATGATGTTTCTATGTAATGTATTCATCTAGAAAAACTGTGTGATCTCTTTAAATCTCAATTTGATCAATAAAAATAGGAAGCAGATTTATTGGCAGACAACTTTTTTTTAAAACAAACGGAAATTAAAACAATATATTCATAGATAATTTGCTTGTTGAGCGCATCTAAACCTAAAAAGAAAATTTATCTGGCCAAACAAATAGTCTATATTGAGCATTGTCCATTCTTTAGATGTACTGCACTATTGAAGTCTTGGGCAATGCGCCTATCTTCCTTTTTTTTAGCAGTTTTTCCATATCCAATTATACTTGCGATATCTATCCACAGTGTGCTAAATTGACCGCAAGGTTTTATGTCCGCCCACTCTGAATTTTTTTGTTCCCTATGAAGATAACTACCAAATATTTATTAAAAAAAATTATTATAAATTCATACCTACCAAGGGGTGTCTGAAAAATTGCTTTTTATGTACACCCAAACCCCAAAAGGGTGGAGTTGATGTGTGATAGAAAAGTTTTTTTTTTAGTAATTTGATTGAATATTGGTGAGAGTCAATTAACTATAAAAATATACATGTTTACAAAGCTAAGTTTACGTATACGTAATATTAAATTAAAAAATTATTATAATATGGGTAATGCTCACAAAAGTTTATGAGCTGTATTAATTGTTATATATATATATATATATATATATATATATATATTTATATATATATATATATATATATATATATATATATATATATATATATATATATATATATATATACATATATATATATATATATATATATATATATATATATATATATATATATATATATATATATATATATATATATTATATATATATATATATATATATATATATATATAGTTACAAATTCAAAAAAATTCAGGTTTATGTTAAAGCTACGTGTATGTACTAGAAAATCTTTTATAGTAGTCTTTTACCAATATTTAAAAAACTTAATTAAGGTTAAGTTAATTACTCATGTAATCAAATTACAAAAAAAAAAAAGTCAAAATATTTATTTTCTAGCACACACCCACGCCACCTTTTTTGGGGTCTGGGTGTGTATAAAAAGTAACTTTTTAGACACCCCTTGATAGGTGTGAATTTAAAATTATTTTTTTTACAAATAGTTGGTAGGTATCTTCATAGGGAATAAAAAAACTCAGTGGGCGGACATAAAACCTGGCGGTCAATATAGCGCACTGTGAATCTGAGTCTTTCCAAATGATGACAATGATTCTTCCTTTGCTTAGGTCATTCAGAATCATTTTAATCTAAATATTATTAGATTTAATATGATAAAAATATAAACTTATGTGTTATATAAAAAATGGGATAATCAAAACTAATATAAAGTTTTCAAAAAGTATGAATATAGAATAGATTAAAGTAACTATAATTATATATAATATTAAATATTTAAAGATAAGCATTATTTCATATTTTCAAAATTATTTCCGACATTATTATTCTCAATTTATAAACTAATATTCATCAGGAGTTTATCGGTCTCTCATATCATAGTATAAATTGAAAAAAAGAAAGTTAAAAATACTGAAAATTCAAAAAAAAACTCACATTGAGATTTTTTTGATATAATATAAAAGTAATAAATAATTATTATTATAAAACTGAACAAAACATTATTTTATTACGATAAAAAATATAAATTATATATTGTTAATTATACCCGTTAATTATTATTTATATCAGTTAGTTACTATTAAATATACTAGTTAATTATTATCATTATCAATACCAGTTAATTATTATTCATACCAGTTAATTTATCAGTTAAACTTTAATTCGATTTGAAATTAATTCAGATAAAAATGTTATAAGAAATGAAAAGAACTTGAATATTTAACTAATTTTTCTAAATTAGATTTATACAAAAATTTTAAAGAGACGGTTTTCTTAAAACGCGGCCGTGGCGCAGTGGTTAGAGCGCTTGCTTTATAAGCAGGAGATCTCCTGACATATTTTCGCATCACGGTGAAGAAGGTGAACTTCTTGGTTAAATGTACTTCCGTGGTGCTCTGTGACAAGACCGTTAGGTCTTCTTGGGGCACCTAAATAACAAAAAAAAAGTTTGAACTTCTTTGACTCAAATTCGAATACCAAAGTTGGACTTACTCTGGAATTGAGCAAATGAATTTGATCGAAAAAATTTAATCTATTTAAGATTATCTAAAGCTACAAGATTGTAAATTTGCTCTTGAAGAGAATTTCAATTATCCGGTTGTGAGAGGAAGAATATCAACTCTGCGGTGGAGTGAAGAAAAATGTCAATTCTCCGGTGGTTTGAAGAAAACATTTTTATCATTAGACAGCAAAGATATGTGGAAATCGGTTATTAAAGTTCTAAATTGAATTTAAGGTATAATTAGCATTACCAGTTAATTTTAAATTTTTGTATTTTTTGTACAATAATATGCCTAGCTGCTTCACTAACTATTTTAAATTCACAAATGATATTCATAGTTATAAACTTAGGTCTGAACTTATTGTAGTCTCTCTAAGCCTTTAAAACAAACACATAAGTGTGGCATAAAGTCAATCAAATATCAATCAATTTATTGTTGGAATTCTCTTCCTGTTGAAACTAAAAAAATATTATACAAAATAACAAATAGAAATGCCTTCATAACTCACGTAAAAAAGTTTTTCCTCAATAAAAATAATCAATGAACTATCATTTATGCAATCAACCCCTAGTTATTCTTTAAAACTAAACTTATAATAAAATAAAACTATAAAACTCATAAAATAGAAATAAAAATATAAAACTCTAAAATTAAAAATAAAAATATATAAATGTTTATCTAGTCGCAATCAAACATCCCAATTTTCATCATTATTTATATCATTATAGGTCTTTACACGTCATCAGTTTATAACTAATTGTAAATGTCCCGTATATATATATATATATATATACAGTATTATTAAAGTGAAAATATATTGATTTGATTTTGATTTGATTTGATTTGTTAACCTATTTAGTAAATTATTTCGGTGAATCAATACCAAATAAAAAAGGAAAATTAGTCAAAATAAAGTCACTCCTTCTCTAGAACATAATATATTAATTGAGTCTTATAAATCATATTATATTGTAAAAATTACTTATTGACCTAATTATAAAGATTGTAATTAGGTCAATAAGCAGTAGTATCAAAAGTGGATACCTCAAGAAAGTAAATCATTAAAAGTGGATACCATACATATGATATTAGCTTCATTCGAATAAGACAATTCGGACGCCTGTTTATTGTATTGCACCAATGAAAAACTTTTATACGTAGCCTTCATATGTTTCTCCATGGTAACCATGGAAAAACAATTGAAGTCAACGTATGAAAGTTCATTTGTTTTCTCCATGTTTACCATAGAAAAACATATGAAGGCAACGTATGAAAATTTTTTCATTAGTGCGAATCAATAAACAGCCGTTTACTGATTCGCACTAATGTTTCGTTTGTCTTATTCAAACGAAGCTATTTACTCAAAAGTTCAGTGTTTCACAAACAAGTTTAAAGCTCAAGATAAAAAAAAGAAAAAAAATCGTTCCAGTATCAGTTTATAGAAAAAAAAGAGAAGTTGCAGATTTGAAATTATAAATGACAAACTTTAATATATAATTACAACTTTTTTTTAAATTGCTAAGTACAGTACGTTTAAATACAGTACCTCTAGATACAGAACTTCTATAAACGGTATCATAAAGAAGTACTAATAACAATTCTATTATTTGGATAAATCTGACCTAAAATATAAAACCTATTTTTCTGATGTTATAAAAAACTGTTTTTTCTGTTTGGCTTTTTGAAACCGTTTTAAACTTTTGGATAAATTTAACTAACAAGTTTCGGTAAAATAGTCCATTTTTTAGTCAAAGTTTTATACTTGTTTTAAATTTTTCCAACCTTTCTAAACTGTAAATAAGTTATTAGTGAAAACTAAAAAACTGACATCTTTTATATTTTTCACTTCATGTTTATATATCAAAACTTGATTATCCAAAACATGAGTATTTACTTCATCCTAAACATAGGTTTTCAAAATTTGAAACCTTTATAAAATTAAGGAAATGGAATATGAAAAATGGAAAATAGAAAATAAAAAACCAAACAATGCTTTAATTTTACTTATTTATTTTAAAGCTATTTAATTTTTTTTTTTGAATACTTTGAAATTGTTTTTGCTTTAAAAGATAATAAGCCTGTTTTTTTAAAACCTGGTTATTTTAAAACAAAAACTTAAAAACGAATACAACTTCGATATCATAGAGTGAGTAGAGGTACGTTGGATTATTTTAAAACTTTATACAAAAAGTTTTAACTACCTTACATTACCATGGTCAGCCATAGCATTTAACATTACCATGGTCAGCCATAGCTTTTAACAATTTTTATTTAGGCTTTAAAAACGTTTAAAAAAAAAAAAGCGTTCTTTGAAATTATTTTGTATGTTAAAAAAATCTGTTTTCTAAATGCACCTGTCAAATAGTTATAGTTTTTTGAAAGAAAATCCAGTTAACATGCAAGAAGTGGTGAATTATTAGGTAAACAACAATAAAATTATTAGTTTTTTTAATAGTATAGGTATTGCCACCTTAAATTCGCTTCATGGCTACAAAGCTATTTGTACTACTTATTTGCATAAATTTTCATTATTTGCATAAATTTTCATTATTGATATGTTTGAACTTTTGTTTAAATAAAAAAATTTTATGTGTGAACAAGTTTATATATATATAAACAAGTTTTCAACTTTTAAAGAAATTAAGAAAAAAATTTAATGTTACGTTATACGAAAAAAAAATGGGTAAGTTTACAAGTTTTGACATCTAAAAATAAATTAGAAACTAATTCAAATGAACAAGTTTTATTTTATGTATCTTAACTATTATATTTATAAACTTCTACAAAAATAAATCATAATTTTTTTTTATTTCTTCAAAAAGTAAACAATAACTTTTTTTGTGTTTTAAACTGTATTAGCTATGACAGAATAAGAAATTCTAACAAATTTTTCATGTTATATAATATTGTAATTTATTATTAGTTTGGTTCAACATTCAAAATTAACTTCTTTACATTTTTGTTTTCTTCACAGTGTGAAATCTTTATCAAAAGAATATTGCATTAAATACTCGAGTTTTCCAGAAGTTTATTTTTGGCTTGAAAAAAAAAAAAACTCTTCGTGAGTTTGTAACTTGGTTTACTTTTCTTAAAATCGAAACAAAAACAAAATTCATTAAAACCTTTATAATTTAAAACAGTTTTTTTTTACTTTCTTTTTTGAAAGGTTGCCCAAACTGCTAAGATAATAGCCATTTGTTGACCTGAAATACTAAAATTAAAGATTATTGAAGCGTTTCAAAAGCATAAGCATTTCAAGAACCTATTGATTTGAAAACATTTTTTTCTTTTGGAAGGACTGTTTTTAATAAATAAATTTATAATTATGAAACATTTATGTAACATTTTTAGGCGATATTTTTTAAAGATAAGATGACATTCTAGGCTTTAAAACCCTCATACATATAACAAAATATATAAAATAAAATAAAAACATATATGTACAATAAAAAATATGTGTTAAGAATAAAACTAACAAAATTCCAAAAACAAAAAATGAAAATATTGTCTTTGCAGAAAATGTATTGCTTGCGCACAATAACAAAAGAAGAATGCATCAAGATACACCAGATCTGGTATGGGATTCAAAATTAGCCGCAGAAGCTAAAGATTGGGCTATTCAAATTGCAAAAGCAGGTGGGTTAAAACATTCTTCCTCATCTAACTATGGTGAGAATCTTTACTATCAATGGTCTTCTGCAAAAATTGATGAAAAAAATGCATTGGAAAAAGCTGTAGAATCTTGGTATGAAAATTAATTCATCTATATGTATTATTTAGTTGTTTTATTTGTTTGTTTTTTTAATTTGAAATAAATTTATTAAAATGATGCAAAATATTTGTAGCAACCTTCCACGTATTTTGCTTTTCATAAAAAATCAGGACCTTTCAATAAAATAAGTTTTTCTTATCAACAAAGTTTTTTTAAATTTAAAAAATAAAACTTTTTTTACAGATGCTTTTGTCTATAAAAACATTAAAACTTATAAAAAGCATAACAATAAACTCTTAGTAATTAATAATAAACTATGGGTGAACTCTATGTAAATTTATTTATTACAGTAATTTTTTAACGTATTTTTTTATTTTTAAAAAAATATTTTCACTATTTTTTGTTTTAAATTAAGAACTTTAATGCCTAATAAAAAAAATAAAAAATTATAGTTAAAAAGATTATAATCGTCTTATCACTAAGCCCCGTAAATATCGAAACACTCTCTTTTATTACTCTTTCCTTTAACTTAATAATTGTTGTTTTTAGTTTGAATTTTTTATTTTTAGGTAAAAAAAATTCATTTCCAGCATAAAAACTAAAATTTAGTTTTAAGGGGCTATTTAATTATAAACTTCCTCCCCTTCCCTACGCGCTGGTCATAAGTATACTAAACATGGCTTCTTTTAACAAGCCATTTGTGACATAAAAAGTTAGATGTAATCAAATGGATTTATTTAAAGCATTTTGACTAATTTGATTAGCCTGTTCATATTAAATGAAGATTATACAAACGTTTTCAGTATATGCTGCGAGAGCATCTGTACGTTTTGGTAACAGTTTATATCTGATTAAAAATAAAAAACAATAAAAATATCCACATCATCAGAGAAAAACAACACAGATTTACAAAAGCAATTAGTAATAGTGCGCTCCTTAAGTGAGTTTATATATAAAGCTTATTGAAATGGTATTACGCTTGCGTTATTAATATTTTTAATATATCTTTTTTATTATTTTATAACATAATTTTTCTGTTTTTAAGTTGCTTTTTTGTGCTATAGTTAAATGTATGCTCCAATAAAGCAGAAGCAAAAAGCTAAAGTTTTCAGTTGCATTTTAATTTGTTAACGAGTGTATTTTTAAGAAAGCAATATACAGTGGGTGGCGAAATTATTAGTGACACATTACTTTTATTACTAATTTTTAAGTTTAAACTATTTAAATGAATAAATACTTATCTTGTAGTTATTTTTTTTATCGTTTTTATCATTAGAGGGCTTCATTTAGAATATAAAACAACATAATTACTTCTTTCGTATTTATTTTTTTATAAAAAGGTTTTAAAATAAAAAATAAGATAATAATCTTAATATTTTGTTATCTCCCTCATTAACGGTTCTCAGGCGTCGGGGCATGCTTTCTATGCAGAACTTTGCGTTTTCCTGGAGGCTGAGGTTGTTATGCTACTCTCTAATAAGGGTTTCTATCAATTGCTGCTTGTTAGTGATGATCTCTTTAGCAATTTCATGTTTTGCAAACTCGTATAGATTTTCTATAGGCTTCACGTCAGGTGAACTTCCCGGCCAAGGCAAAACAGGCATATTTTTTTCAGCTAGGAATGCTGTAACACTCTAAGCTTTATGGCATGGTGCCAAGTCATGCATGAACATATACTCTTTATTACCAGGAAAACATTCTTGGACCCGAGTCAGCAGCCTGCTTTCCAGTACTTGCTTGTACTGGTCCTGCTACATGGTCCCTTCCATAATGTAGAGGGAACCCATATCCATGGCTGAGATCACAGACCACACCATTACACTCACAGGATGTTTAACATTTTCCATAAGGCATTCGTGTTGAAATTTTTTTCCTGAGCGACATTGGACAAATGAGCTTTTGTTCACCAAGATTTGAAATATTGAGTCTAAGAAGCAGACCTGTAAAACATTACAAAGATATTTTAAATTATAAACCTATAGTTTTTTAGGATTCTTTTAATAATATAAGTCATATTTACTCTGCTCCAGTCTTCAATAATTATTTTCTGGTATTTTTAAGCCCATTCCAGTCGTTTTTTTTTAATGGTTTTAGTTAAAAGTGGTTTTTTCATTGGAAAATGACCCATCAAATTCTCTTCAGCCAACGGTCTCCTAACCATTTTTTCGGAGACATTGTTTCCTTCATTGTTTATCATTGTAGCTAGTTGAGCCACACCTTTTTTTTGTTTTTAAGACAGATGTCTTTGATTTTACGGTCACAATATGGAATAGTGATCTTTTTTCTACCACTTCTGCCAACGCGGTCAGGTTCTAGGGGCATATTTTTATCAATTTCATTTTTTGATTCGGTTCATTACTGACTTTGAACACTTGTAGTTGCTGCTATAATGTTTTTGAGAATGTTTAGAATAAAGAAGTAAGACTGATCTAGTTTGAGAACACCAAATCTAAGGAGAAAAAAATCAAAATTTTTGTTCCTCTTTTTACGAATAAAAAACTTAGAAATAAAAAAATTTATCTATACATTTTAAAACTGCCTTCAGTTCGCCATCAAACAAATACGATACAACTCTAGCAGATTCATTTAAAAAAGCACATTTTGTCACAAAAGTACTTCCTTATATTTTCTTAGGGTTAAGTCTAAAAACTTACCCATACTAAAAAAATCAATGAGAGCTGAGAATGATTTAATCCGGATTTGTGCCTTAGAATTTGAAAAAATATGAATTATTAACTATAACTAATAATATTATTAACCGATACTTACGTTTCGATAGTTCTAAATTAAAAATACTTACAAAATATTGTTCCAAAAATGAACTCAATTTTAAACTAACTCCAATCACACTTTTCAGCTAACTTTTTGATATGGTGGACTGAAAGTATTAACACTATGCGAGGTTAGAATTATTTTGTTCTAACTCCATGTTTTTCCGAACCGAGAAAATCAAGTTCAAAGCTTTAAATGGACCTGCAGGCCAAATAACAAAAAACGCAAACAAAACCAATTTGTATTAATTTTCTATATAGGCTACCATAGTTTCAAAGAAATTGTTTTAAAATATTTAAAGCGCAGGTGTCTGAATTACTACACCCTGATTTGGAGATAGAACAATGTAATACACACTTTTTTAAAAAAATACAGTATTATTTTTTTCTATTTTCATTTTCTGTTAAAAAACATAATAAAAGCTAGTATTTTATATTGTGGCAAGATAATTGTATATTTTGGCAATTAAAGTAAAGTACATATCTGTTTTATTAGAAAAAAATCTTATTTTACATTGTGAACAAGTAATATAAACTATTTTGTCTAAAAATTAATTCAACAGAGAAAATAAGTAATATATTATCTAATGTACCAAAACCTTCACAACGAAATAAAACTTTAGTTATAAGTTCTGAAAGCATACCTAAAAAGCATACTAAAAAAACTAAAACCAAACATCTATAAAAACATTGCACAATAAAAAGTTATCTTAAATTATAATTAGTTATATTAATCCAATAAAAACATAACGTTTAAGTAAGAAGCCCATTTAACAATATAACATATAAAACATTAATATTTTGACAATAAATTAGATTGTTTTAAAATACTCTTGTAAAATGCAATATTTACAGCAGGCATATACTAGAACATACTTTAAAGGACATTGCCTTTATCATTTAAAATTTGAACATCCTGATTCAAGGAAAACATTAGTACCACTGTCATAACTAAGATCGCAGATTGTTAGTTCATGCTTTTGAACAAACATTAGAACATGACTTTCTGAAGTATACATGATCTGAATGCTAGAGGCTTTATCTGGATATAGGGAACAAGTCTAAAATTAAAATAGCCTGCAATAGCTGAAAAATGTTTAAAATACAATTTCTTCATTTGGTAGACGGAAGAAATTTTTTTTTTTGAAGAGCAGAAACTGCTTTGATTAAACCAAGGGGACTAAATATTTCAACAGGAGCGAGTGCTCTATCAATTTGACTGTGGATATTAACAACCTCTTGTATACTAGAATTCTCTTGTCTTAAACTTTTGTTTAATTACTCTGATTTTTGGGTAACATATCACAAACCAAAAATCAACAAATATACGTGCTCATTTTTAATCACTGATACTTTTTGTGCATTTAAATTTGCAAGAATTTAACGGTCTTTCTTTTTGGTTACAAACTTGCATAAAACATTTTATCCTTTTCTATTTTTATACGGCTAATCAGATTGTCTTAGCTGCTTTCTCACATTCTGTGTTTCCAAGTTTTAGGTGGAAACACAAAATGTGAGAAATCAGCTAAGAAAATCTGATTAGCCTTAGGAAAAATTAGGAAAAAACTAGGAAACTTTTGTTTCCTAGTTTTTCCTCAACGTATGAGCAGACAACGAGCTAGTGCTATTTTAGGATTATCATCATGATAACCAAGAACAGTCAGATCACTTTCTGAAAAAATGTATATATATAAATATATATACATATATATATAAATATATATACATATATATATAAATATATATACATATATATATATATATAAATATATATACATATATATATATATAAATATATATACATATATATATATATATATATATACATATATATATAAATATATATACATATATATATATAAATATATATATATATATATATATATATATATATATATATATATATATATATATATATATATATATATATATATATATATATATATATATATATATATATGTGCTATTTTAGGATTATTATCATGATAACCAAGAACAGTCAGATCATGTATATGTGTGTGTGCGTGTGTGTGTGTGTGTATGTGTGTGTGTGTGTGTGTGTGTGTGTGTGTGTGTGTGTGTGTGTGTGTGTGTGTGTGTGTGTGAACAATAAAATATTTTACCTTGAAAGTTTTGTTGTTGTTTTTCTGTAATAAAAACATCCGCTACGATTTTGGCGTAAATAACTTTAGATAAGATAAAACGGAGATAGCGCATGATAATTTTAATTTATAAGGAGGATTAAGGAGATAGAACAAAATGCAATGTCAGGTATAGTAAGTTAATTTTTTTTTGTGATGATTTTTTTGTAAAAGTTAAATATTTTATCCATAAAAAGAAAAAACATCGATCTAACTCAATTTTTTTGATTTATGGAGATAAAACAAAATAATTCTAACCTCGCGACTGTTTAAAAGCAATAATAATGGTATCAGTAATTAAAATATTTAGATTATTTAAAAACAATATATTTGTGTGTGTGTGTATATATATATATATATATATATATATATATATATATATATATATATATATATATATATATATATATACATATATATTAGGGTGGAGTGAAAAAATTTTTTGTTGAATATCTTGGTTGGATAGCTATAAAAATTTGCTGACATATGCAATTAGTAATGTGGCAAACAATCAAACGATTTAAAGCATATCTTGAGGTTCCACAATTGACCTGAATTATAGGCATATTTCAAATAAAAAACAATATTTTTTGAAATTTCAAGTTTATATATGACAACATATTTGTGTAGCAGTATACATTTTTAACAGTCTATACAAAAGTTACAAGTAAATAGAACTAAATATTTGAAAAGAAAAACACAAAATTTGAAAAGAAAAACTCTAGTCAAACATGTTTTTATAGCTACAAATGATGTTGTGCTTTAGCGTCCAGTTTCGGCATTTTTGATCTCGATTCCAAACGTGCTCTTATGAATCCGTCGCGTTTTTCTGGACCGCAAACCGCTTGGGAAGCTTCTGTAACTAGCTTAATATGCCTCTCCACCGACTGAGTGTGACAAGGATAGCGGGCGAAATCCAGTCTTGGTGTATCTTCTTCCCGGATCATGGTTAAAAAAGTATCGTCATCAATGTCCATTACGATTGGAGGCTCTGTGATTGGAGTTTTTTGCCAATCGATCATGTCTATGTAACTGGTAGCTTCAAAATTGATTACTGGCACACAGAAAGATCTAACTGAACTCGTGCGCTTCTGCTTCCTAGATTTCATTATACGCCTCAGAGCCAACTCGCGCATTTCTGATTTTTCGTCGGTAAGCATCGCAAGCAACAGGTTTTCTGGATGAGTAAAAAATGCGTTGCGTTGAATTACTGGATCAACAACTTTCTTCAGCTCGTCTGTGAGGTGGCGTGATTTCAGTTTTATATTATGGACATGTCAAGCGCCATCTTTACATGAAGTAGTATTTTTTATTTCAAACCATGCTGGTTCATAAACTGTTACGATGAAGGTAACCATTGTCTTCAGTTCATCCGATGGGCATCTTGTGGCTATATACAGGCGTAGTATTCGATTAGCCGTTGTTAACTATCTTAAATGATTGATAACACCAGGATTGCGAAGTGAAAGGCCTACAGGACAAACGCCAACACTGACAGCGGTGCACAAGTCAAACAGATATTTTTGATCTGTACTTAAATCATCAGAATTTAAACCTGTCGGTAGAACACAGTTTATGGGTGTGTATTTGACAACAGGAAGCTTCTCACATGCCACCAATGATTTTCCAATTGGACCAAAAAATCCTTTTGGACCATTGGTAGGTCTATCTAGATGTTCGAACAAATGCCTTAACGGTAATTCGTTAGCATGTAGCTGACATACGAACCATTGCAGCGGTTTGTTCAACGCCACTTCAAGTAATCGAATGATACCTCCTCGATTGCCTGTATTAGCAACGGTTCCGTCACAACCTACAGCTTTTATACCACCCAGGTCAACATTCTTTTTACTCAAATATGCAATCAACTCAGCCGCAATAACTTTGCTTGACCCTGCAATTGGTGTAATGTGGCCAAAATAGATGGATCCTGGTTCGGATATAATGGATATATGTTCTTCAGTTGTTAGTTTTCGATGAAATTTCCCATCACATTCTTTAATAAGGGTTATTGTACTGTCTTTTCTTCCATCAAAATATAGCCCAGTGATTGTGTTACTGACATTGGCACATAATGTTCCACGTTTTTTACAACGCTCTTTACTCGTCGCACTTTACTTCTGTCAATCACTTTAGAAACATCCCTTTCGTGGATTTTTCCAACATCTTGAAGAACAGCACTGGCGATTCCTGCTGCGGCCCTGTCGGATACACCATGTCGATCACATGCTAACGCCAGAGATGGTAACTTAACTCTCATCTGCTTGTCACTCAACTTTCTAAATTGTTCATTAGGATCCGGCATACAATCGTCATCAGATTCGTCATCGCTAGCATCAGTTTTCTCTTCCGTAGAAGAAAACTCCTAACAAACATCTGACTGTTTCTCACTGATGTCATCAATGTCAGATTTGCTGCACATCTGCCTCTGCGTCAACTCTTTACGAATATATCGTTTTCGCAATTTGATGGATTCGGCCTCATCAACTTTAGCAATGATCATACCTCGTGGACCTCGCTGATCTTCTAGAAAATCACGTTCAATTGCGGATATCTTTCTTGACTTTTCACACTGACACTGAGATATGAAAGAACACTAGCAGGAGCAAATGTCAAAGAGTTTTTTGAATTCGTTTTTAAACTGAGATATTTTCTCTCGGTATGGTCCGGAGTCTTTTCTAGACTTATATGGCTTCAGCAAATTCATGAACGTCTTGTGGTACTTGTTCAACATTTCTTGGACACGGCGGCCGCTTACATGTGGTATAGAAGCTTTGTCCCATATTTGTTCCACTTTTGTTGTCACTATTTCTGCCACATTGTGATGTGGTGGATCTTTATTGTTCAATTCATATTTAAGTTTCTGTTTTGTCAGATTGTAAAACTTCATAACATCTGCAAAAGTAGGTCGTTGATTGTCAAGCATTTCAGAGGGAGCATCAAAAATGACACAAGATACTTTTTTCCTAGTAACAGCCATTAAATATGAGTTGTTATAATAAATGAATTAAAGTATTATCTTATATGAATAAAATGTTTTGCAATAAACGCTGTTTGTTTACTCTAGACAGGAAAAACGCACGTGAATACGTATAAAAGTGAACTACAATAAAAAAATACCGGATAGTAAGGATCTTACTTGAAATGAATATTTTAAATATATATCAGCTTAACGTTTATAATATTTTATGTTTTTTATGTATAAATATAAAACCAACGATTCCCCTTCTTTTTTTCATAACCTATACTCAATAAAAGAAAAAAACAAGTACAATCTACGAAATGATAATTCTATTCGACTACAATTTTCGCATACAAATTTTGGTAAATCTTGTTTCTTTCCGAGGAGCCGCTCTTTGTAATAAAATAGTTTTTAAATATTTTGACTTTTCTCATGAATGGACTTATACCACATATAAAAGGAAACTCAAGAAAATAATTTTGTCTATTGATAATATACTTTTATACTTTTAATAGGAAATTTATTTGTAAATTTCTATTTTTATTTAAACTATGTTTTTCTTCTAATATTGTTAAACACAGTTTTTTTATTCATTTTAAAATATTTAACACGTAAATTTGCAACGAGTTTGTAGCGGTTCTCGACGACAAGACCTTAAGGTCTTCTACGAGTCTCCGCATTCAATTTTTTTTTTTTTTTTTTTTTCAATATTTATAGTAAAAATCCTCACTTGTAATTGTTTATATTATTATATCTTAACTTGTAATTTTATAAATATTAAAGAAATGTAAAAAAAAAGAAGAGAAAAAAAAAAATCTACGCTAAATATATATATATGTATATATATATATATATATATATATATATATATATATATATATATATATATATATATATATATATATATATATATATATATATATATATATATATATATATATATATATATATATTATTTTTTACATATATAAATTTTACATATATAAATTTTACATATATAAATTTTACAAATATATATATAAATATATGTATATATGTACTTATGTATATGTAAAATTGTAGTCAAGAAAATGAGTATACTAGAAATGTTCTAAATTTTTAGGTATTCAGAGATTAAGGACTATAACTTACACACACATAAATCATCTGGAACCACTGGCCATTTTACTCAAGTTGTTTGGAAATCTTCAGTAAAACTGGGCGTAGGCGTTACGTCTGTTACCCAAAATGGAGGATACGCTGTTTATGTTGTTGGAAGGTATTTTCCCCCTGGAAATTACGTTGGAGAATATGAAAAAAATGTTAAACCATTAAAATAATGTTAAAATACCTATAACGTTGTATATAATATAAATGCGTTTATGATCTTTGGTATTTTTATTTTTTTATTTTTTAAGTTTACATTTGATGTTTATTAGTGATATAAATTTACCAATAAATTTTAATTCAAAATTTCAAATTTTAAAACTGATAGGATAAATTTTTGTTTGAAAAGTAAGTAATTTTTTTAAGAAAATTTCAGAAAAGTATTTGTTGGATTTGTAAATATTAAGTTATTTCAAAAACTTTAACATAATCAACAAATTGAAGATTACTTGCTTTGAATTAAAGATTACTTGCTTTAAACTAAAGATTACTTGTTTTGAACTAAAAATTACTTGCTTTGAACTGAAAATTACTTGCTTTAAACTGAAGATTACTTGCTTTGAACTAAAGATTACTTGCTTTGAACTGAAGATTACTTGCTTTAAACTAAAGATTCCTCGCTTTGAATTAAAGATTACTTGCTTTTACTTAAGCGTTGAACTCTTTTTAATGGCAATTACTTGCTTTGAACACTAAAGCGTTGTCCAACTGAAGATTACTTGTTTTGAACAATTAAGCGTTGTCCAAAGTTTAAGTGTTCAAAGCAAGTAATCTTTAGTTGGAAACGGGGGCACTATGTCTGAGAGAAGTGATAATTTTAAACTGTGAATTATTTTTTTTAAAAACATTTTCTTTGTACTCTCAGACATATTTATTAGTAATATTAGGGTTTTGCAACACTCTAAAATCACTGATAATAACGTCTAAAAGTTCGAAAGTTCACGGAATTTTACCTTTTCTAACATTATCTACACTGCAGTGTAGATAATGATGTAGAAAAAGTGCAATATCTGTGTGCTTTCTCTATGCCATCTTTCTAACTCGACTTCTTTAGTCTGTAACTCTAATATTCTTTGTTCTTCTGAAATTCATTTACTCTTGGTCCGTCGAAACAGGTTATGGTGCTCTTTAATGAACAGAACTCGTCTTCGTGGTCCTTGGTAGGCGGCATCTATATGGCAATTATCCGGAGGAGGGTAAACCACAATACCACTTTATTTATGTTTTTACACTAATCAAAAGCAATATAAAAAAATCCAGCTGCACCAAATATTTTTAATTTGTATTTGTAATTTTAACTTATTGCTGAAAAAAAAAAATTTTCTGACAGTTTTTTTTCGTATGTCTTATTTTTATACAAATACCCAATAGAGTAATGCATAAAAATAGTTTGAATTTACTATATTGAAACCTAAGTTATAATCAAAAAAGAAAACATAAGTAATAAAAATCTATTTATATGCCGTTTCCTATAGTTTTTATTTTTTACATTGTTTTATCTCGAAATTATAATATCTGCAAGATAATTCTAACCTCACGATATATTTACTTACAATTTTTGCCAAAATTTGTTGAACTTTTATCGGTTTTTGATCATTTTGAGGCATAGTGCAGGATATGGAACCAAGTATTCTACTAACTAGCCATTTTTGATTCTACCTTCACTTTAATATGTTGTTAGTCGGTACGTCACCTACCCCGCACTCCTGATACCTAAAATTAAAAATAATGAACTTTTCTCATTGAAGGGCATTAGTTAAAAATGTAGAAGCTTCGGTGCTAGATAAGCAAATGATTGTTGTACGGACTGGGGATCAAAAATAAGCAGCAATTCTAGGTAACTAAGCAACAATTTAGGTAATAGGTTTTTACCTACTTTTACTTTTTTTTAAGCTAAATGTTCTTTTTTAAATATAGATATTTTTTAAAACTTACACTTAATTACACCCTTGCGGTGTATGAGCTTCACCAGTTTAGCTGTCATTTTTTCTCAATATTATTTTAATAGAGACTTTTTTTTTATCTCTTTCTTAAACCAAATACCATTTTTCATGTAGCAAAATTTGAAGAGTTTTTAGTTTTGAATGTTTATTCTGCAATTTATTTACTAATCTAAGCGTTATAATCTAGCGTTGAGATTTCTCTTTTCTCATTACATGTGCATAAAAAAGACTTCTCAAGTTGTAAAAAAAATATATAATAGATTAAACAAAAGTTTCAAAGTATACACTTTAGCAGTTATTGTACATTTGATAAAATGAACTTTTTAATACATTTTGAATATTATATGGGTAGTTTTACACCAAACCTTTTGTAAAAGTCTCACATGGTCTTCATTATTTTCTTAAAAAAATAGTTTAAAAAAATATTTTGAGTGTATACACTAAAAATATTTTTTTAAACTATTTTTTTAAGAAAATAATTAAGACCATGCAAAACTTTTACACGCTGAAGTTATGTTGAAGACCATGTGAGACTTTTACACGCTGAAGAAATGTTATTTTACAAATCATTAAAAGGTAAAACTATCTTTTAAGATATATAGAGTATACTCTATATATCTTAAAAGATAGTTTTATCTTTTAATAGTTTGTAAAATAACATTTCAATGTGTCTTTCATATGTAAGCAATACAGTCTTGCTGTCTCTCAAAGTCGATACTTTTTTACAGTGAGCAAAACTAGGTTTTGCGTTTTTTGTAAAATCAAGACCCAAATTATTTAAATTTATTTCAGCCATTTTAACTTATTTTCTTATAATAATTTGCGATAGATTAGGTTTATTATATTAAGTAATTCTTTTTAATATATTATAGCAAAGTTTGTCATAACTTATAAACTATTAAAAATTAAATATTATATTCGGGTCAGGATTTTTTAAAAAACCTGGATTTGCTCATTGGAAAAATGTTTCAACGGTCTCTCAATGCTGATTCGTCCATTTTCACTGAAAAATGTCTTCTTTTTGGTTTTTCGATGCTTTAACTCATTTCGTCGATACTTTGCTAAAGGCATTGATATATAGTGGCATGGTTTTCACGTCGTGGTCATCTTTTCCCAAAACAGTTTCAACAAATTTAATTTGGTTTGATTAAATTTTTTCCTGTTGTATGTTTTTCCCCAGATTTAGCAATTAATAAAAAAAATTTCATAAATAGCTTTAATAGTTTGATTGGTGTTAATGGGCAGTAAACAGAGATATAGGTCTCGAGACTAAAGTCTTGGTCTCGAGACACCTTGAGACTCATATTCAACTGTCTAGTTCTTGGTATTGTTCTTAAAGTCTAAAGTTTTGGTCTTAGTCTTGGTCTTGAAAGCCTAGAGTATTGGTCTTGGTCTTGGTACCGGACCTCTACTTTCTTGATTTTTATGAAAAATATCAACTCAATGAATAGATTAATTACTAATAACAAATCGTAGATCGCCGCAACATCTTGCTCTCAATGAGAGTTCGTCGCGTTGTTTTTTGACAAGGTTCTAACTGAAATTTTTTATGTTAGGAGAATTTAAAAAAAAAATTCAATTTTTTTTTAATGTTTAATTAAAATTAGTTATATTATTATTTTTTTATTTGTTTATGTACTCTATTTTTGATTGATGTATAAAAATTCATAAATAAATAAAAAGTAATTATATAAATATTTCTATATAGACAAAAAAAAAAAAAAAAAAGATTTATTTGCTATTCTCCTAATATAAAAAAAAATCTGTTAAAACTTTGTCAAACCAACACACAGTGGGCTAGAGGTGAACATGCCCCTTTAAAACCAACTTTTTAAAGGGGTATGTTCACCTCTAAAAGAAACTTGCTTCTAGCACCTACTGCGCTTTGGATATCTACGATTGGATATCTACGATTGGATATATACAATTGGATATCTACGATTGCAAAATCTACGATTTGATATCATTTATAATAAAAAGACTAGCTCCTGGTGCTAGTCTTTTTTATTTTAAATGATATCTAAACGTAGATTTTGCTTTAAAAACGGGGAAAACGCATGAAGAACAATTTTAATCATTTAAAATTTGTTTTAACCTTTTTTAAATAGAAATTTTTATGTTATTGTGAAAAATTATGGAACATTTTATAAAGAAGAAGGGAACAAATAAGAACTTGGAGACTGGGAACAAATAAATCCTAAAACTTCATCTCCCTCACCCCAAACGTGAGGGCAACAGGTTGATAAAGTATTTTTTGTACTATTCTCAACTAGACTTATATTCATTGATAAATTTTAAGTTTCATAGTATTATCTTTCAGCGTTCAAAAATTATGAGCATGTAAAATTTGTAACTCCCTCAAATTGAGGGGATTTAAACTTTATATGGACATAACTTTTTAAGGCTGAGAGATAATACTATGAGATTTAGAATTTATTGATGAAGCAATAATATCAAAGAAATTAACCACATAAAATAAATAAAAATCACAAAAATGTCTTGACAACCCATGACTACACCTACCTGTGCGTATAACATCATAACCACTCCTGGAGACCAAATATGACCAGATTTGACTTTCCTGATATTAATAATCTATTCTAACCATTTAATTTAAAAACCATCAAGATATTTCAGAACCACCCTTGACCACTCCTAAAATAATCACCTGAGCAGTGATGACCACTCCTGAAGACTGAATATGCCCAGTTTTAAATTCCCTGACTGCAATTACCTATATTTAGGCATACAACGTGTCTCATCTAATTGAAAAACACCACTGTGCAACGCGACGAGTCATATCGAGAAAGACGTGTACTCTTTTTCTTTACGCATACCTTTGCTAAACTGTCAAAATGGCTGATAAATTTCCCGCAATTATTAAGTTTAACACCATCAACACTACCATGTCATCACTATCTAATTTGAGTTCAGCTGTCTTATCGCAAGATGAGACAGCTGAACTAAAATTTATGACAATGGTTTTTTGTGTTTTATAGTTTTTATTAAATTTGACTAAAGAACTTGGCTCAAAGCACAGATAGTACTCAGTACAATGCCTAACAGTATAAGCAAATGCCTCGTTTTTATGAAAAACCCTAAGCCGTAACAATGGCTCCAAATGTAGCCTTAACAATACACACCAAAAGTATGAATAGAGACACCATCCATGCACAACATGACACTGTTAATACTCTAATATTTTACAGCTGTTAATAAAATCCCTTACTCTTTCGTGGCTGGCTGGTAGTCTGAGAGCCACGAAAGAGTAATGGA